ACTGGTCCCTCCTTGCAGCATGCCCAAAGTATGCCAGACAAAGCTTCAGAATCTTTGACTCCAAGGAACATTCCAGCTTCCCTCTCTCCAGGACAAATTGTTGTTCTAGCAGTCCATGGTATATTCAACATTTTTCTCCAGTACCACAGCTCAAAGACATCAATTCTCTTTCTATCATGCCTAGTCACTGTCCAATTTTCTGATGCGTAGCACGTAATTGCGAAGATTATAGCCCAGATCAGACACACCTTAGTCTACAGCCTGATGTCGTTGCTCTTCAGTACTCTCGAGAGGTCCCTCACAGCAATGCAATTCATCTCTTAATTTCCTGGCTGCTGGTACCGACAGTGTTGCCAAGCAAACAAAAACTGTTAACTCTTTCAATCCTCTTCATCATACATACTGATGCTGCCAGTTGGCTCAGTGGTGAGAATCTTTGTCTTGTTGATGTTGAGCTTCAATCCTAATTGAAGGACTTGCAGTGCTTGTGTCATTTGCATAACGCACATTCCTCCTCGTACAGACCAGCATCTCGGATGATCAGTTCTGCATACAGATTGAAAAGGTATGAAGACAAAATACATCTCTATCGGACCCCCTTCTTGATTTTGAACCATATAGTGTCTCCTGCTCTGTGCTGATGACTGCCTCTTAGTCCAAGTATAATTTTTGTATAAGCACAATCTAATGTTCTGGGATTCCCATTATTCTCAGAGTCAGCCATAGCTTGTTGTAATCCACACAGTCAAAAGCCTTTGCATAGTCAATGAAGCACAGATAGACGTTCCTCTGGTATTCTCTGCTTTCTGCCAAGATACAGCTAACATTAGCTGTAATATCCCTAGTACCACCATCCTTTCTAAATCCAGGCTGCACATCTGGCAGTTCTCTGTTGACATTTTGCTCCAATCACTTTTGGATAATTTTCAGGAGAATCTTGCTTGAATGTTATATTAATGATATTGTTTGATAATTTCCACACTCTGTTGGGTCACCTTTGTTTGGAATGGGAACAAATACCAAATCTTTTGCAGTCAGTTGGCCAGCTGGCTGTCCTCCAGATTTCTTGGCACAACTTAGTGAGCAGCAGCATCTGTTTGTTGAAATATGTCAGTTGGTATGCCGTCAACTCCTGGAGACTTTTTTGCCAATTCCTTCATAGCAACTTGAACTTCCTCCTTCATCACCATAGGTTCTTGCTCATATGTTATTTCATGAAATTCCTCTGCGTCAGCCAGTTCCTTCTGATACAGTGACTCTGTGTACTCCTTCCATCTTCTTTTAATGCTTCCTGTGTCATTTAACATTCTACTGAAAGTATCCTTAAGTATTGCCACCCATGCCTTTAATTTGTTTTTCAACTCTTTCAGCTTAAGAAATGCTGAGCGAGTTCAACCCTTTTGATTTTCTGGCTCCAGCTCTGCACATTTCATTATAATATCTTCCTTTGCCGTCCCTAGCTGCCTTTTGAAATTTTCTGTTCAGCTCTTTGATTTCTTTGTTTCTTCTCTAGGTTTGGCTTCCCAGCACTCTAATGCAATATTCTGAATCTCATCTGACATCCATCTTGGTCTTTTCTTCTTCTTCAGCCTTTGTAATGATCTTTTGCATTCTTCATGGACGATTTTCCTGATATCCTCCGAGAGCTCATTTGGTCTACACTCATTGGTGCTCAAGGCCTCAAACCTGTTCCTGAGATGGTTTTGAAATTCGAGTGGGACAGACTTAAGGTAAAATTTTGGCTCCCGTGGT